CTCTTCCTCCAGCTCCAGCTAAAATACTCTTTTCTATTCATTGATATGAATACTAATGAGGCAGTTTGTGCTTTGGTGATGACACTGTATCAGGAAGAAGATAACAGAAAATTTGTCTCTTAATTCAGCTGAGGAGCATATAAAAGCTACACATTTCGTTCTACGAGATTCAGTGCACACAGATGAATTTAAGAAAAGGTCTTATAAATTTCATTTATTTCATATTTCAAGGCTGTTCCTATTTGGAAGGCAAAAGTTGGACAACAATTTGTGAAGTCAGTTCATCTCCTTGTGCTTTAATTTCCATAGCTGTAAAACAAGAATAAAACTTACCCTTCTGAAATATTTTGTGATCTTGAATGAAATGCACTAAGTACAAAATATCAACAGTGAAATGGAACAGAGAACTTACCTCATAAGCAAACACATTTCCAGTAGTCTTGATGGCCACAATATGGGAGTTATTGGTGAATACAGTAAACAGCACTGGACAGTGGTATTTGCCTGATAGAGGGGGGAAAAAAAGTTTAAATTTCACATGAAGACCTGCAACTGTTTTGAAATAGCTAATTTCTCCTATCTCTGTGGAGGACATTTACATGAATTTTTAATATAAAGTGTAACTTCAGCATGTATTTAATGGCATTTTAACAACATTCTGATTCTCCAGTGACAGGCAAAGTCCAAGAAAGAGTAACATACAAGAGAATTATAGAACAAGCAAGAAAAATGCAGTTTTGACATCTATTGCCTTCAATCTCCAAACACGGAACTTTGTTCAACTTGTTTGGTAACTATGAAATACCACAATATAATTGTTACTGTGATAATTAAAGATCTATTGATAACAAGAGCTTATACTTTGCAATGTGCCCAGTGCTGTGTATCACTGTTGTTCCCAGGAATAAAAGTTTAGCTTATATCCTACAGAAAAGTTCACAGCCACTGCTGTGCTTTTAGGAGAGGAGAGCATTTTGTATTCAAATGTGGCAAGCAGAATGCCATTAAATCTGAACACGTTACTCCATAAGGAACCCAGCTTCTGCTCTAATCAAGCTGTGAATTTTCCCAGGAGGGTCAGCATAAATATTAAGCATGTCAACAGCAAGTGAACTGATGGAAGGTACTGCAGGAGGAAAAAGAAAAATGTCTGGATGATCTCAGCAGAAAGCAATTAGAAGAAGGTTATTAATACTTGATCAGTTTGCAAGACCTGAGGGTTTGGGTGAGATTTTTGAAATAAGTTGGACCTATTTGGTTCTTTTTTTCCTAATTACCATTTGAAAATCAAAACCAGCAGGGAGGCCAGAACAGAGGCTGCTCTCAGCACCTGTGAAGACAGGAGAGGCAAACACCTACAGAGATTTACTGCTCACTGCTCAGTCAGAGGCAGCTCTGGCCCCCAGCACAAGTCAGAGCTGAGCACCATTTCTGTCACTGCCACCAGCACTGAAGGAAAGCCATTGCCACAAGGGACTGAAATTCAAGAGGAAGTTTAGAAAGGGATTTTTGGAAGTGGCATCAGGGTTTGGCCCAACTGATGGATTCAGAAACATGCTGGTAAAAAGTGAGGCCTCATTGCAGCTGCATAAAAAAGAGCAAATCATCATATTTTCAGTTCCAGCAAAAGCAAAACTGCTGAAGGCACACATGTGTTGATCTGGAGAGAAGGTACACAGCTCAGGAGGGATCACTAAATGGCAGAAACTGCAATATCCAAAGACCTTTTATATCATACAGGTGTGAGCAAGAGAAGATACTACATATGTAGCAAACATTGTACATGTTAAGATTTAAATAAAAGTTTGCTGATAGACAGAAATGCAACATTTTACTCCTCTTTTGCTGCATTTTCCCTTGATCGGTTAATGACACGATATGCACCTTTCTAAGGAAAAGGCTGCAGACTGTGTTGAGCTGTGTGGCTGTTGCCATTCCCCCCCAGCATTACAAACTGAACTTCTTTAAGGAAGGCACAATATCACAGTATCTTTCAAAAACCTTGGCCACAGTGACCATTGATCAATTTTTAACACTCTGCTCTTGAGACAGATTGTACACAAGGCACAGAAGAAATCCATCAGCCAGAGAAAAGAGCTTGTAGTCCATAGACTCTGCTAAGATAAGGAGAGAGACACTCCAGAATTTTATTCCCACCTAATCTTTGCCACTCTCATTTCAAAGAAATCATTATCTACTTTGTAGAAGATGAAATCATCTGCACTCTGCTGTTTTGTTCCTAGCATCCTCACTTAGATGGCAGATTTTATATCTTGCAGAAATAAAACTCAAGGTTGCTGTCTTCTGTGCTTCTATTCATAAAATCCCACGTGTTCATTTAAGTCTAATCCCTTTTATAAACAAAAAGCTGCTCAAAACCAAGTGAACAGCAAATATTGCCATAGGCAAGCTAGAAAAACGATAACATTACAGAAATTTAGCCTTTTCTGATTTTTTTCCTTAAAGTAAACAGTACCTTACTGCAGTAGCAGCTATAGTAAAGTGAAATTGCTGAATAATTTACAGCTCCCCAGTGTAAGGAAAAACAGAAATGGAACTTTAAAGGTAAGCATATCACTCACAAGAAGCAGTTAGTCTACTCAAGAAATAAAAACCATCATAGAGAACACAAACTACGTAGCTTTACCATGAGTAAGACAAATCAGAATTTATTAAAGCACTCATTAAGGAAAAAAACCCCAACAAAGCACCACCACAGAAAATGACTGCACTTACCTTCACTGTTTTTAGCAAAATTCAGCCTTATAAGTGATTTGGCATCTAGTTTCTAAAGAAAATGAAGCATTAAAAATATTAATCACAACAGAATGTAACCATGGAAATAAAAGGAAACTGTAACATCACTGTTAGGATTTTAACAGTACAGAATTTATAACTAATATATTGCAAGTTGTTTGAATCATCAGAACCCTGGGAATTTAAGTCACAGACAGCCCACAAAAACAAGGTTCATCGAGCCTGAGAACCAGTATAGGTTTGTTTACAGGGCTGTATTTGACACAGTACAGTGCTAACCACAAGGAATAAGCTCAAGATGTTGCACAACTGTCTTAACACAAACTCAAAGGAGTTTGCCTTGCTAAGAGGCAAAGATCATTGCTGCTGATCAGAAGGGGCAATTCAGCAGGGACCTCTGATGAAAGTCATAAAGCTAGCAAACCATTCTGGCAATCCAGCTTGCTGCCTTCTCTGAAATCACTGTAATTTTCCTTTTACTTCAGGAAATGTGCAGCAGGGCCCACATAATAACTAGCAATAACAAAGAGAAACGCAAGTTCTCTGGAGAGGCACTTGGGGTCACAAAGGGAGTCCCAGGATGGATTTTCAGCCACTTAATCTCCAGGTAAGAATTCCATGGAAGAGGGAATGGAGATGGCAGCCAAGGCTGGAGTAGTAATGTTCTTCAACTCTAGAGAGAACACTGCCAACTAAGCTAGCTCCTGCTCTGCCATGCTTCATCAGAAGGATAGCTATGGCATTTTTCTGCTGCTCTCTCTCTGGAAGGGTTTTCTGTCATGGGGAAGGAAAAGCTATTGAGCTGGCAGGCACTTCTGGACAATCAGGCCGCTCCCTCCCTGAGACACGAAAGCTGCAAACACACCCAAAATAACAGTGAGCCTTCAGTAACGTGACTGGGCAGGCCCACGTATGCCAGTCATTCCATAAGGTCAGAGTGTGATTTGGGTACATCACTGGCATGCCAGGCCACACTACAACCAGGGTCACCCCACCAGGATGGTCAGACAGTGCTGGACTGGGGCACCCAGCTGGAGACGAAAGTGCAGCCCAGCAAGTTGTAAGGCTGAGCCAGGATATGAGACCTATAAAAATAACAACAAACCCTTTGATTGTATCAGCTGTCAGTTTCACTGCCAAATTGATCGTTAAAAGCACAGCCAGAACAGGCCTTTTAAAAGAAACAATCGGTTCTCTTCTCAAAACACACACCTGAAGAGATGAGGGAGGTTTTTATAACCCAGACAGCTCTTTATAAACAGCTTCGAGTGGAGCTGTGCCAGCCGTGGGGCCCACACTGCTCGTTCCATCATTATGGCAAAGAGTGATAACAGAATCGTGAGAAACTAAGTCAGTGGGGTTTTTGTGCCTAATCAAAATTCATATTCCTGGTGCAGAGAGTACACGTTCTGACAGCTGGACTCATTCGTTTATAGGAAGGCACTTCTCAAATTGCTCTCCACCAACTGGCAGGCTCTTCTGCTGCCAGAAAGGTAACCACCTCTCTAATTTATTAGCAGGAAGAGTGATGAGGGCAAGTAGTAATAAAATGGGAAGGGAGAAAAGAGGCCAAGTTAGGTTATATTTAGTTATGTGATGGAAGACCAGCGCTGCTTTTTTTTCTTAAGTGGATACTCAAAAAAAACCAACCCAAAACACTCCAGTATCTGCCCACTGCTGAGGTACAAAGAGGACAACAAGGCAACAGCAGCTTCTAATATGACTAAGTGAATGCAGAGCTTTATTCATTTATTTATCTTCTTACAAGAACAAAATTATCAAAGAAGTAGCAGGGGAACAGCAGAGTTGCCAAAAGGAACATCTGATCCTGGGCAGATCTGTTCAACCTAAACAACTATTAACACAAAGCAGCATCCATCTGTGCACATGTTGTGCAACAGCCCGAAAATTATGTTTCAGAAAAAGCTTCTTTAGAAATACAACCACTGGAAACACTGATAATTTGAAGGAAGGTCCTTAAATTATCTTCCTGGCAGACCTGAGCTATCCCCAGAACGTATGAGCAAACCACCTTTAAACAAAAATGGAAACAGTTCCTTAAGAAACAGTTTAGCATGACTGAAGATTCAGATTTATACCTTGACAGAAATTTAGTGGAAAAGACAGACTAAACTGCGGTGCAGACTTTAAAGGTAGCAAAAGCTGCAGTGCACTGTTTCATCTATCAACATACGATGCATTGTTAGAAGTGCTGCCAAGTCCTCGGACTCCTCACTCCATACCCAGGGAAACAGTATGGTATTTCAGGTCACATCTTTCCGTAATATGGAAAAAGGCTATTTTTCAGCATGACTTACTCATGGTGCATCAGCTGCTTGTGCTGGATCTGCTCCCCACTGAGACAAGCACTTACAGTCTTATATGTCAACAGTAAATAAAAAAACAGCGATTGTCATATAGGAGTTGAAATACGTGCACTGCCTGGTGTCTTCTTCCAGGCTGGGAACTCTGCAGTGAAGTGCTGTATGAATACTGTAAGGTTTTATTGCTGCAGACTGGCCACCTATCAGGCTTGTGCTGAAGAAGTGACCATGGCATGTGAGCTCACACCCTTTGGAGCAGCTCTGCACTTTGGCTCGTGCAGCAAGGCAAGAGGGGGATTTAGTGTTGTCAAAGCAAATCTCTGGAGCCCCAGAACAGCAAAATCAGGTGACAATCTGCTCCAAAGGATTGCTCAGTGCCCAAGACCAGGCTGCATGCAGAGCAGCCACAGAGAAGGGAGTCTACACACTTCCAGGAGGTCCAGTTTTGAAAGACCTACACATTACACAGGAAAGTATGAAAGGACATGATATAGGCAACCTGTATAATATTATTTTTTTCCTCTCAATTTCTTCATTTCACATTAAAACAGGATTATCTTGAGTGTGGGTGAATCTCCTTTTATTTATTCTCCATCAAAAGTCAAAGCTTTCCAAGCACTATCACACAGTTTGTTGCCATGGAAATGACCATTATGCCACAAACGGGCGCTGGTCTTCATGGGAAGAGACAGCAGGAGTGAATGAATCTTATAATGAGTTAAAGTATTTGTTTTCATGTATTTCTTATTATTAATAATGCATAAGAGAGCACAAATATTGCATACACAACTCCAGTTCAAATATATCTCCAACCTGAATTTCCCTGACACAGACCTACCATCCATTTTCAGTCACTTCCCAGTGAGGAAAGAAAGGCAAAAAAAAAAGTGTTTATTAAAAACACTTGATCTAATTAAAATTCTAAATTCTTAATGAAAATGAAAGGCCACAAGCATCTGCCACTTCCCCCGAGCAGAAATAAGAGCTGCATATTCACTTCTAAAAATATTTTATGCAGAAATACTGGAAAGCAGACGCATTTCACTGCACGTAGTACCAGCTGCTCCACAGCAAGGAAGGGCTAAAAAAAAAAAAACAACCAAACGCAGAACCGTGCGAGCTCTTTTCTCAGCTGACTCTACTCTTGCAGGCACACTGCCACAAAGGCAGCCAAGGCTACTTTTGGCCATGACCTACTTTCCTGCAGCAGCGAGAAGCCCCACCGCCCCACGCGCTCTCATCTGTCAGCTGACAGCACCGGCTCCTGCGGGATCCCAAAGGGCAGCAGCCTTTATTGATACCCAGGCAGAGGTTATTACGACACGTAGGTTAGTGGGGCACTGTGGCAGCTCGCGGATGAAACATGCCGATTGTTTCGAATTAAATCATTCTCTGTCATCGCTGCGTGTCTCGTGGAGATATGACCTACAATCCCTGCGCATCAATTAGTTACACTCTCTGAATCTCTTTGGTCTGTGGCTGCACGTTCTTCTTGTTAATGAGGCTCTGACCCTGTTGGATATGCACCAGCCTGAAAGGCAATCAAAATGGGCTCAGCTGATTCTCTACCCACACATGGGTAGAGTCGGTGATGTGCGGCAGGAGCTGCATTTAGTAAAGACAGACTTTCCCTCTCTACCAACAGCAACTGAGTAAGTGTTAAAATGTTCAACACTTGGGGATCAGACATCCTGACTGGACACACTGAATGGCCTCTGTCAGGAACACACAAAACTCCAGGGAAGCTATCATGGGGAAAAGTCAATGTGCCATGTCTGAACTGGTTGACAACATGAGGACAGAATCATCCAGAGCCAGCATTTCCATTTGGTAGGTTTTCATCCCACCAAAATAAGCAACACAGAGTTACCTCAAGTAGAAGAGAAAGCCAGAACAAATACTAATGCTGAAATATAATGCTGCCTACCAAGTACCAAACTTAGCTCAACAACAGCAAATTAGTTTTGTAGGAAATTCTTTAGTTCCTTTAACGATGAGACACGTTACATAAAACTTTGCATACAACTTCCCATTTTAAGAAGTCCTCAGAATTTTCCCTGCTATAAAATCTCCAAAAAATATGTGGATATTAACTGAATGAACAGTATTGGAATAACTCCATGTATAATGTTACTAATTTCGGATCTTATAAATGGATCTAATGATGATATTGGAAATCCTCAACTCTGCACATTAGGGCATGTGACTGGAAACAGCAGCACAGTTTTAACAAGATAAGCCACCTTCATGGGTATTAGTATTTCATGAAAAATCTGAGGTCAGCAGCCAACAGGCCAGAATAGCCTCATGATTCAAGATATTGTTTCTATGTTCAGTTCAACAGCAAAGTGCTAGATATTTATCATGTGGACAACTGCCTACCAAAGGCTGAAAAGACACTCCATTCACATTCTTGGATGAAGCTGCTATTTAACTCCAGTTTTCATGTACTGTTGAACTGGTATGGAAATGGACACAGAGATCCTTCATCACACACTTCCAGACCACCATTATCTACATATTTAAATGTTAATTAAACTGACACCATATGGTCACCAAAGCCTTGTCCAGAGAATCATAAAGATATGCCTGATAACACACATGGCTCACAGATACCAGCAATAATGTTGCTCTATCAGAGAGCACATTAACAGAAATTACCATGAGAAAAAGATGCACAGTCGCATGTGCAAGATCAAACCTGCAG